GGGCAACCAGTGAAACCAGCTGACAGGAAGGGGCGGGGCTTAGCCCTTCTTAAGCCCAGGCAGGAGGCCAGGAGGGCAGTTCCCCTCTGGTGGGCTGCAGGTAGCGCCATAGCAGAGATTACCATAGCCATAGTACTGCCATCAGAGCTACAGAGTAGTTCGGTTATCTGTCTTGTGGTGCAGGTGAAACAAGTTCCTCCTTGTGGGACCTACTTGTAGTGAGGCCTGACCCTCAAGCTAGGCCTCGGAGAATAGCTGGGGTTTCCCAACAGGAGACAGATTCCCAACATTCAAATGGATAAACTTGTTAAGGAAAATGAGACAAAAACAGCCCTTCGCTTCATTCTCTTGCACATGACAGGGCACATCTAGACGTGAAATTAATGTACCTGAATAAACTCCAGCACAGTTTGCACCAGAGTTTACTGCTCTTGGGTACTATATTTACACGTGCACCCAGGACCACAGCACGTTGATCTAAGTCAGAGCAGCCCAACCTGGCAGGGAGGCTGGGGAGTCAGCCTGCCAGCCTGGGGCTGCTCCGACCTGGCTCACTGTGCTGCGGAGGGGCTGGCTGGGGCACGAGGGTGCTTCAGTGTGGGGCTACCTGACACGCAGCCCTCACACTGAAGCACCCTCCTACCCCAGCCAGCCTCAGCAGCATCTATACGTGCACTGTGGTACACTAAACAATGCTGCTGCAGGATAATACCTGTGTTTACATGCAGCCCTAATACGGCCGCTTGTGTAGATGTTGAGACCTTACTGTGGAACTAATTAGTCAGCTCCACAGTAAACCTCTTGTGTAGATGCACAGTGTACTAAAGAACGTCCAGCTCCTCAACAACATTCAGTCACCCATTACAGCTGAATAAATTGCCCTCTGGTAGTTTACCAACTTGACTGCAACTATGCTTCCAGGCATATCCAGCTAGACCACATCTGCTGTGCCACTGAATATGAAGGGTATAGTCTATTGACTTGAATGTAAATTCAAAGGACAACTCTAGCTTGACGTATGCACTATATTCTGGAGGCTCACAAGGAGTATGGTGAGGTGTTACATTTCTAGTGGGAGAAATGCATTTCACTCACTAGAAACTAAGCGCACACATATTCCTTCAATTTCCCCCACAGCAAATATGCTGGTTTTGGGAGAAAAGTCTTTGTTTTAACAAGACTGGGGTCACCCTGGTCTGGAAAACATGTGGGGAGCAGAGACTGCTCCACTCCTCCGAGGGACTGGGAGGAATGGAGCAGCAGCTGCTCCCCTGTCCTTACCAGTCCAGAGTCACCCTAGTCTGAGAATATGTGGGGAAAAGGGGCAGCTGTAGGCTGGAACACCTGTATGCTCCTTCTCTTGCAAGGATTTCTAACTCTGCAAATATTCTAGCAATGAAACCAGTGAAAGGCTTCATGTGATCCTGTCTCTGGGCTGTCTCTTCTCAAAACTGCACATTTGAAATAATAATAATAATAATAATAATAATAATAATGACATCCTGAAAAAGGAGCACAACATATGCCGAATCACTAATATAATGAATGTTTTAAGAGTGACAGCTGTTACATACACAGATGAATCACTCGGCACCCAAAGAATGCCAGCAAATTGCACCTTCTATAGATACATAGGTCCACACCTATGTAAGAATGAACCAGCTCTACTGACTTCATGGGAGTCATTCCAGGTTTAGAGTGATATAACTGAGATCAAAATCAAGCAGTATATTTATCTTCTGTCTAGTTATTTACGTGCTCACTTGATCTGGGCCTGGTGGGGCTGAAAATCAGTTTGTTGGCCTTGAGAAGCAGAGTGCCTATAGTTAGCCTGGACATGGCCAATAAAAACTGAGTGCAGCATGTGAAACTTTTTTCACAGATGCAGGGTGAAATTCACACAACTTCCCAGTCAAAAGCTTGAATTAATGGACTTTGCAGGAGAACTCCTCATGCACAGATCTACCATAACAGACACTGCATGAAGGACTTGGCACAGGCCCTCAGCTAGTGGGCTCCATGAAATGCATGGAAACTACTTAGGATTCCCTTCAAGGCTCATTATGATCAAGAGAAAGAGTGTTCAGGATGATCATATGGTCAGCGTTCATGTTAGAGGCTCCTTCACAGTATTTAATTCCTAGAAGTAAACATGCTATATTTCATTTGAGAAATATTTATTTGCAGCAATAAAATGACAGAAAAGGAATACACCACTTACTTGTTTGCTGCCACTGCTGCAATTACAGCAAAATAGGAGGGTTTTGTAATTTTCCCACCAAAAGCTCCACCAACACGTTTTGTGTGGCACATGATCATATTGGACTGGACGTCTAGAGCTGAAGCCACTAATTCCTGTAGAAGTGAAATCCCAAGATTTTACAGAGGAGTATCAGTATCAAAGCACAAAGTAGGAGGCCTATTTTCCCCACAGCACCCAGTACGTAAAAACAAGTACCTGATAGGGTCAGGTTGTAATCAAAGGGCACTGATGTGAATCTGGAGTAGTCCCCTACGATAATGGAGCTATTCCAAATTCCCACAGGTGGAAATGAGCAAAATTTAGTTTTTAAAGAGAAATGGAAGCAAGACAATAACTCCAGAAATGACACGTCACTCGCTTCACGGCAAGCTTTAACAGTTTTGCATCTAGAATTGAGGCATATTTGCAATGGGTACACTTAGGCATTCACAAAACTAACCAGCTGCTTGGAAAAGATTGGCTCTCCAGCCTACGCTAGTGAATAGGGTGCCATAATAACACTAGCTCCTAATCCTGAACTCCCTACTTGTACAGTGGTCTGCTGCTGCCAAACTGGTGTTTTGTGTTAACGAGATGATCAGGATCAGGCTCTTAATACTGACATACAAGGCTTAAAAAACAAACAATATTGATGAACAACTCAAATAAATAAGGACTAATTCTTAGTCCCACTGAAATCGCTGTGAATTTGGTCCCTATCTTTCCTGGGACTCAACTCAGGATTGAAAAGATAATGTTTAAGACAATGCGGCCCAATTAGCCCACTGCTGTGGCTCATGTGACATCTGGTTAAAACATTTTTTAAATGGATGCACAGGAAGTTGTGTGGCTGTGGCCCACAGAACACCTTGAGAGCTGCAAGTGTGGACCACTATGGCAAACAGGTTGAGAACCACTGGTCTAAGGACTAAGGCTTTCAAAAGCTTTGTTTGAGAATAACCAAACAATGCTCTCCACTGTAGGCCCCTGGGTGAAGTTCCACTCTTAGAATCGAATCCTGAAAAGCAGTTACCTAACTAGGGGTGGGTGAGAGGGGCACCAGCCCTGGGTGCTGACTTAGGAGGAGTGCCAAAATCATCCTCCATCCCCAGTGAGTCTGTGGCACCAGAAGCAGCCAGCACGAACACAGTCCCAGTGATGTGTGTTAGATTAGAGAAGCGTTATAAGGTCATCCTATTCACAACTGTGCTGTCAAACTGTGAGTGTGGGCATGGAAAGCTGAGTCTGTAGCCCATTTTTGAACACGAGCTGGTTACACAATTCATTCATGCCCCACTGAATTGGACTAGGCACGGCTTTATGTACACACCAAGGCCTGTGTCAATTGTTCTGCATGAGAAAATCTATTAGCTTTAGGAGAAATCTACAAGATGGAACTCAGACCTCAACAAGGTCTTGCAGTTCACCTTACAGGGTATTCAGAGGAGAAAGAGATCGCTGCCCAATAATGCTTTACACTACCTGTACATTCGATGAATGCTGAGTAGATGAATATACATCCATTTCGTTATCCTCTCCTCTTGGAACAACAAGTACACTGTTAGGTTCCAGGTAAAAATGTTCCTGTCCTCCAATATGCATTTTACCTGTTACAATTATAACCCCAGAAAAACTCACAACTAGTATTTATAAGAAGAAGAAATCTGAAGATGTGAGAGAGTGAGCGTGAGAGCATTTCATACAGAATAACAATGTTCATTCTCCATTCATGAGATTAAATTCTATGATTTCTCCACCATTGTTGTAACGTACCCCATGAGGGAGCCTAGATCATTTATTAGGAGGAACTTAATTTCTTTACCCATCTCATATCTGAACAATATTTTTTTTTCTGGGATAAGTTCAGTGTCAGCTAAGTATCTGAAACTTTCTCCTTCCTAGTATCTAGCTACCTATAACTCTCTATAATCCTTCTCCCTTTAGGTCTCTCTGTAAAGGAAAACTTTCCTCTTTGTTGTTTCTTTATTCCTGTCCTTTCCTCCGTATCCCCTTTGTATTTATATTTGTCTCTTTCCTACTCTGATTGCCTTTTGCTCTACCTGCTCTTGTCATTTTTCTTTTATATAATTTTTCTAACAGTGACATGATTGAGCAAAAGCCAATAAGTATGAACTATAAGAGAGGTAGGCAACCTCTTCTAGCTACAGGCCAGAATGACCCACCCTAGGTTGGAGGCAAGCGGATGGGTGCTAGGACTCTGCCACCTCTGCTGCGCATCTCCCCAGCAGCACAGGGAAAGCAACTGCAGAAGGTGCCCCCCATGCCAAAAGCTGCCAAAGCCCAGGTCTGCAGGCCAGATGCAAAGGTTCCATGGGCCAGATCTGGCCTGCAGGCCATAAGTTACTGACCCCTGGACTAAAGTATTTCATGACTAAAGGATGACAATAGCACACAATTGAACAGCGATGATGGAAGAAAGCACTGGCAATGTTATACAGAGTGACAGGACAAACAACTAGCCATACACACAAGCACATGATAAGAACTGGATCAGTGTGTAACCCATGCTCTTCAGGTCACTTCAGAACAGCCTTCCCTTACTCCGCATGTCTTGGATGCTTGGACATACATTCTAGCAAGACGCCTCTAACTGACTTATGCTGCAGTGAATTAACTGCAAGGAGCACATCTGTGATGGGCTG